GCTGGGCTCAGGATACATCAGGGTGGGATATAATTGATGCTGCTTCAGTTGTCTGTAATCAAAGGGCCATGGGGAGCCAGTGACGATTTTGAGTGGGGCATGATTTGGAAGAAATCTTAGGGGTTGGTCTTCAATAATCAAGGATGTTTCCAGAAAAGTGGAGATCATCTCTGGCTTCAGCCTCTTGGAGTCCATGTCTGCCCTTGAATTTGCCAGGATTTATCACTAGGCATCCTTCAGGTGGGTGGACCCAGAGCTGCCTCTGTCACACACCCCACACTCCCGTCTTACTCCTGTGCCCCTCCTTAGGCTGCTGGCCCTAACCCTGGGCACCGGCAAGGTGAATGTGGGAGCTCGCCAGAGAGGCCTGTGGGAGGAAGGACCCTCACATGACATACCCAGAGTTTAAGCAATGTGGGGATCAAAGGTAAACTAAATAGTCTCTCACGTTTTATAAAATAACAGTCAGATTCGTGTGATGCTTTTATGTTTACAGGACGCTTTCATATATATCAAATTATCATTGCTATTATCATTATTATTTTTGAGACAGAGTCTTACTCTGTCACCCAGGTTGGAGTGCAGAGGTGCGATCTCAGCTCACTGCAACCTCCCCCTCCTGGGTTCAAGCAATTCTCCTGCCTCAGCCTTCGGAGTAGCTGGGATTACAGGTGCCCGCCACCACACCCGACTAATTTTTGTAATTTTAGTAGAGATAGAGTTTCACCATGTTGGCCAGGCTGCTTTCAAACTCCTAACCTCAAGTGATCCACCCACCTCTGTCTCCCAAAGTGCTGGGATGACAGGCGTGAGCCACAAACAACACCCTACCCATATATATTAAATTTGATTCTTGTCATAATTCTGTGTCGAACGGGAACAATTACCCCCATTTACAGATGAGCAAACAAAGGCCAGAGGCAATGACTTTACCTCTGCAATTCCTTCCAGATTCAGGAAAGGAAAAAAAAACACATATTGGCAGCAGAAAGCAGGCACCAGGGGCAGCATTTATTCAGCTTCTGGACTGCGGACCAGACACTATGCCAGGCACTGTCACGGAAGTAACCTCACATTTTAAAGACAGAGTGTTTCATCTGTTTCCTGATGGTCTGTAGCCCATGATGAATGGGAAAACACTTGGTCCAACCAGCAGACCAGAACCAGATAAATCAAACAATCACTCCGTGTCTGCTCTACGGACTTATCTTGTCAGAGCCCTTTGAGTTGTTTGGTCTCATTTCATACTTGTGACAGGTGGTGCCATCACTATGTTCAGATGAGGAAACTGGAGGTCAGAGAAATGTCTTGTCCAAAGCCAAGTAACAGAGTGCGAGTGGAGGTGAGGTCCTGCCGCATGGACTGAGTCGATGCTGCACTAGCCGTTTTGCGGAATTTGCAGCGAGAGTAAGACACAGCACTCACCATGTGCCAGGCATTGTATGCATAGCTTGATCTAACTGACTCTTTTAGTCATCCCAATATCATTATATGAAGTGTTAGCATCTCCACTTTTTTGTGTTTTCTCTTTTATAGACAGGGTCTGGCTCCATCACCCAGGCTGGAGTGCAGTGGCATAGTCTCAGCTCACTGCAGCCTCCATCTCCCATGCTCAGTGATCCTCCTGCCTCAGCATCCCTAGTAGCTGAGACTGTAGGTACATGCCACTACACTCAGCTATGTTTTTAATTTTTTGTAGGGACTGGATCTCACTGTGTTGCCCAGGCTGGTCTCAAACTCCTCAGCTACAGGGATCCTCCCACCTCAGCCTTCCAAAGCACTTCACAGGCATGAGCCACCATGCCCAGCCATCATTCCCATTGTACAGATGAAAAAAATGAAGCACAGAGAGGTGCAGTAACTTGCCAAAGGTCACACAGCTAGTAAGAATAAAATGGGGACCCAATCCCACGCAATGTGGCATCAGAGCCCACTATCTGTCTCTAGACCATCACATCTGGGGCTTCCTGGTTTTTGGTTCCAGGATCTTTCACTGGACTAAACTCTCTGTGGGAGGAGGAAGGCAGGAACACAAAAGGCAGGCCTCAGTCTGGGGGCCAGGTATCCAGAGCTGAGGCCCTGGTCTGAGCATGTCCTGGTGTGAGGCCTCATCTGGGTGCTGGTTGTCCAGGTATGAGGCCTCCTCTGGAAGGTGAGTCCAGGTGTGAGGCCTCCACTGGGGGCTAGGTATCCAGGTATGAGGTCTCCTTGGTGGACCGTGTGTCCAAGTGTGAGGCTTCATGTTATTGGATGAGTGTCCAGGTACGAGATCCCCCTATAGAGGCCAGGTATCCAGGTATGACCTCTTTGTGCTCCTCTCTCCTTTGGGTCATTTTTCTAACAGTCCCTAGCTATCCTAGAGTGTGGTAGGGATAGAGCTAGAAAAATGGGAAAGGGCATGGTTCTAGTTCCGGCTCTGTCCCTAAATAGTGTTATGACCTCTCTCCGGATGTCAGTTTCCTCATCTGTAAGTGAAGGGGCTGGAATAGATGATCTCTTACGTCTCTTCCAGATTGACTCAGTTTAACAAACTGTACTGAGCCCATGTGTCCTGCATTATTCCGGGCACTGGGCTATGGTGACAGGTCTGTGCCCTTCAGGGGAGAGAGATAAGAAAGAGCTCCAAAATGGGAATTCCTTAAAGAAACTCACACATGTGTCCTGCATTATTCCGGGCACTGGGCTATGGTGACAGGTCTGTGCCCGTCAGGGGAGAGAGATAAGAAAGAGCTCCAAAATGGGAATTCCTTAAAGAAACTCACACATGTGCACGAAGAGATATGGACAGGAATAGTCGCCGTAGCCACGTTTGTGATAGCAAAAAAAATTGGAAACCAATATTGATAAATTAAATCTGTTACGGTCACACGATGAAATACTAGGCTTCAGGAGAAATGCATAAACCAGAGCTTTACAAATCAGCGTGGACACCTCATGAAGAAAATGCTGAATAGAAAAAGGCAAACTGCAGAAGGATACCATACATTATGGTACCATTTGCACAAAGTTTGAAAACATGCAGAACAGTCCTCTGTATTGTTTCTGGATGCATACATACGTAGCAAGAGTATAAAAACATGCATGGAAATGATAAACACCATATTCGGGGTGGCGCTTACCTCTGAGGAGGAGGCGATGGTCTGGTGGAGGGAAATACAACTGTTTTCAGAATGTCTTCTTTCTTAAAATGTTTCTTCTAAAAACGATCCGAAGAGAATATGCCAAAAGAAACATGAGTCTCTCTCCATTATGTTTATGCTTTTCTGTATGCACGATATATTCATTAGAAAACAGAACATTTCCATGCCATGTGCAAAGTTCTAGGAGGGCAGAGGTGGGCTTTGCATCCAGCTGTGATAGTCTAGGGCAGGGGAACTGGGTGTGAGGAGAGAGGAGGTTGTTCGTGACAGTGAGGTCTGGGGGCTGATTCTGGAGTGATTGTTGATGGAGATGGGAGGGGTCAGGTGCTCAGCAACGCCCTCTGTCCTATTTATCTCCTGCTGCCTCTTCCAGGGCCACCTTGGGCAAGGCGTGGTGCTCTCAACTGTTGTAAAATAACAATTAGAAGTGGTATAAATACAGGAGGAGAAGAAATGTGTCTGCCACGGGATCCTGTTGTAATCTATTTCCCAGTTTAATGAGGGCCTGGAGACTCAGCATGAGGCCACTGAAAATTAAGAATACTGGGAGTATTTATGGGGCTTCGAGGCTTTCTTGTTCTGCTGCTCCCTGTAGCTGGGGGTGCAGGAGTTTTCCAGCAGCCCTCAGTCCTTCCACCCAGAGGGGTAGTCAGTCAGCATCTGCAGCCTATAGACAAGAGAGTGGTCCCACTGAGCAGGGAAAAGTGATTTGGGGATGGGTGGCCTCGAGAGGCTTGGATGATCGCCCCGGTGGAGAGGCCTACTCCCAGCTCCAGCTCACATTACAAGAGAAATTTGGGAGTCGAGGTCATAATGAACAGGGAAACCTGAGAGAGAAAGGTGATCCCCTACTTGCCTTCCAGCCCTGGGGATAGGGGCCCCCTTGGGGCCTGGAGAACAGAGGGTGTCCTGGGCAGAGGGCGGGGAAGGGTCGCCAGCTGCTGTCTTCTTGCTTTGACGCTTGAAGCACCTAGTTTTGTTTCGACGTACCCTGAAACGATGATCTCCCTGTCCTGCCCCTCCTCTATTTCCCCCTCCCTCTTACACACCCAAGTTCCCAGGTGGCACATGCAGGTGGTAGAATTGGTTTGTCTGGGCTACAATGGACCTTGGAAATCATGGAGCCTAATGCCCTGGGTATTTCTTACAGATGCCACTTGTAGCCTTGATGGGACCAGGGACCTGGGTCTCAAGAAGCATCCTGCTGCAGGGTGAGGAAGTCTGTCTCATTCTCAACAGGGTAGATTTGTACTGGGGTCCTCTGAGGTCTGAAAGCATCGCCAGAGTTTACAAAGATGACGGAACTGCTTAATGTGCATATCAGTGTGTGTGTTTGCAAGATGGAGTTGTCTATCATGGGTAGGCATGCAACAGACGAGCGATGTATCAGGTCTTCTCTTCCATGGAGGAGCACTGTTTGTAGGGAAACCCTGAGGAGATTTTGGCAAGCAAATGTATAGTTGGGGATGCTGACATGCTACTCATGCAGGTAGGTCCCAGCACGCCTTTTCTGGAAAGCGTTTGGCAATATGTATCCGAAGTCTCAAGTCTCAGATGTCCATGTCCGTAGGGCTCTCTCCCTAACAGATAACCAAAGATGATAATAAAGAGTTCTGCTAACTGCAATGTTATTTACAAGCCTGAAAATTCAGAACTATCCAATAAATGGGGGAGTGATTAAATAACTTAGTGTACAATAATACAAGGAAATATTTTTAATGCATTTTTAACCTACAGAGAAAAAGATCCTAATATGATGTTAGGTGGAAAAATAACTGTGTGTGTGTGTGTGTGTGTAGTAGGCTCCTAATTGCTTAAAAATGCATATGCTATATGCATCTTATAGAAGGCTATCTTTTTTATTGTATGTATGTGTGGGGTACATGTGATATTACATTGCATGACACATAGAATGTGTCATGGTCAAGGCAGGGTGTTGGGAATATCCATCACTGCCTGAGGGTTCATCATTTCTATCGTGTTGGGATCCTAGATGGATATCTTGAAAGAAATACTTGAAGGCTATTAGTGATTGTCATGATTATTTCTAGATAGTAGTATTAGAGATGATTTCTGGCATCTTCTCCATCGTTTTCTAAATTGTCGAATATGTGTTAAGATTAGATACGAAGTAGTTTTGAACACCAAAAAGTCATACTTAAGTGGAGGTGACTCAGTAAAGTAGCTGCTACCTTTGCCTTTTTGCTTTTTACGAGAGTCCTCTGAAGTTCCTTCTTATACAGAACTAAAATCTGCTTTTCTGAGATTCTACCCGTAGGTCCTCCTCCTGCCAATTCCCCAGCCTGAGCTTCCACAGAAGTCTCCTTCTGTCCCTCTGTGCCTTCAGTTCTTGAGGACACTGCTCATCCTCTTCTATCCCCCACAATCCACCCCAGCTTCCCATCCTTCAGGCCAAAGCAACCCCATTTCTGCATCAATCCCGCCTTGGATTCATCAGATCTGAGTTTGTCCAGGGAGCCACCTTTGGGCGTGCCCTGTTGTGTCAAGGTCTTTCCCAGAGTGAGTGCCCCACACCACAGTGCTGTGAACAGAGGGAACAGTGAGCCCATTGCCCCCTCCTTGGTCTGAACGTGCTGTTTCCTCCAGCACCATCTGGGACCAGGCTTTTTGTCAGCCACCTCCTGGTGTTGGCTGCTTCTGATCACTGGCTTTTAGTAGCTCTGGGCCCTTTACCTAAATTTCTCAACTTTCTCATTTCTAAAATAAGAATCATAATAATTTTCTACAATCCAGATAGCAGTAGAATGGCCTCTGCCTCTTAAGAGCTACAAAAATTGTCTCTAGTCTTAATTAAGTCCTGGAAATGTCTTCCAGGACTTGTCTTCCCGCACGTTCGCAGGAAGATTTGTGTTCCCACAGTAGTCGCTGGCTCTGGCTCCCAACTCGGCTGAATTCTGCTTCCTTGTTCCATGTTTCACGGATGCTTCTCTGTCTCTGCCCTGGTGCTGACCAAATGTGCCCTCAGCCTCCTTCCTGATTTTTCCCAAAATCCCACCCTCACAAAGACAAATCATGCAGACCTTCCTGAAGTTTTTTTGGGAGGCCTGATAATGTGGATCACAGAAAGGCATCCCTGCCCCTAAGAGTCCATTGGGTACCTGCCATGTTGAGTGACCTTCCTCCCTGTCCTCAGATCTGAACTGGGGGTGCCAGTCTGGCCTCTGTGCTCCACAGAAAAGGGCCCTGAGCCACTTTTCTCTTTTCCACATCCCAAGTTAATCTTCCCACCATAGAGAATTCAGAGGGTCTTTCAGATCTTTCACACAATTTCAGGGAGTGCGTTGATGTGTGTTTCACATTTAATCATAAGAAAACTCATGGCAGTAAGCCTCTTTTCTTCTGTTGGGATTACCAGAGAGCAGGACCTTCTTTCTCCCAGGACAAAGGACCTTTGCTGCTGATGGTAGTGAGCATGGCAGAAACTCAGTGGCTGTAGTCTCAGTGGGAGGGGTGTAGGTGCAAAGTCTCATCTCAACAAAGTGGTGGTGAGTGGGGGGACACACCCTCCTCTGTCCACAGCCAGGTGCTTCTTTGTTTCCATGGTGTCAGCCCAACACTCAAAGATCCCCTGTGAGTGGAGAAAATCGATCATCTGATTTTGTGACTCCATCAAAAGGAAAGGTCAGACTTTCTTACAAAGGTGAAAAAACAAAACCAAGAATCCTTTAAAGTGGTTCCTTTTTGCATTTCTGACTTGACTCTGTAATTTGATTATAGTCAAGAGGAGATGTTGTCTGCATAGAATTCCTGAGCAAGTGGGAATCTTCCCAAGGAAGGAAACTCTGGGGTAGGAAAGGGGGTACAAGACCAAGGAGACAGGGGACAGGGACGGAGTCTTGGCTGGGTCTCTCCTTGTGCAGGTGACTTAACTCTCAGAACTACAGCTAGAAAATGCAGTCGTCGATAGAAAATTATTCCACAAGTGTTATCTCCTTGGCATTGCCTCAGCCAGGAGCCTGGATGAGCTTCTAACATTTCCCTGACAGAGCCATGGCCTTCCTTAGGGGAAGTTCCTTAAACACCGTCTTCCGTCGTAAACTTGTGTTCATGTAATTCAGGTTTCCTGTCCCTGGTCTTAGGAGTGTTTCTATTTTCTTGCAAGTCCTGGACAAATCTTTAGGGGATCCATAGAAATGGAGGAATTAAACCCAAGTGCTATCCAGTGACTTCCAGTAGAAATCGCTGAAAGGAGAAGAGCTGTTTCCTCAGACTATAGATGCCAGAGAGGCGTGCCTTGGGGCAGTGCTTCCCAAATGGTTTCAGCTCTCAGCACAAGCAGGACAAAAATAATATTGATTCATAGCAATGGGACAAAAGGAGAAAGTTTTCTGTGACCGGGATAACCAGTTTCCCAAGGATTGGGAGGGATTGGCTTGCCCCAGGTCCTGCCCTGGCTCATCCCATGCTGGGGATATCAGCACATGGGTGAAGTTAGGAGAGGACTGTGGGTCACACAGAAGGCTCATAGGCAGGAGGGGGAGGGAAGTACCCGTAAGTAGGTGAGGGGATCAGTTTGGAAGCTGTGATTTTCTATGGCCAAGGAGGCAGCTTGGCACTGAAGATGGTCCCAGCAACTTCCCGACAGCCCCTTTTGTGTTTCCCCTCCTCCTTCCCCATATGACTCCCTCCTGAAGGGATTTTAATTATGAAGTCACTGTTTCAAGAATAGCTAAAATGGGGTGAGCCAGTTAGCTGTCACCTTTAGCTTTCAAATCCTTGCTTCTTCTGCCAGTGGTGGAAAAGGACCCCTCAAGGCCTGTGGTCCTTCCCTCACCTTCTCTCTATGACAGTGCATGTGCCGATTCATCTCTCCTTCCTCCCACCCAACGCCCCATCACCCCTTTGCTTCCCCACTGCACCCTCCCGATCTGAGCCCTGAGTCCTGCCCCACGATATAGTCATAGCTCAGGTGACAGTCAGGAGAAGCTTCCTCTCTCAAGGAGAACTTTCGACATAAAGGTATGGAAGATCAAGGAGCAATGGCTGTTGAGGGAAAGGGTGAGGGAGACAGAGTGACAGCAGTGAGTTGAATTAATTCCCTGGTGTCGGATTTAATGAAGGGCTGCCTTCTGTGCTGCCTCAGAAAGGCACATCATGGAGTGATTGGTGCTGGATGCACGCACAGCTCCAATTAAGAGTTTCTGCATCTCACAGGGGCAGGGTGTCTTTGAATCTCTAGACTGTGGGGGCTTTCTACCCCCCTCCCCACTCCAGGCTTGCTCAGCCCTGATCCAAAAGTCAGAGATCTCTGCTCCTCTTAAAGGGAAAGGACCCCAAGATCTTTTTTAGCTGCCTCTGCATGTCCCTGGTGGCCCTATTTGCTCCCTTCTCCCTTACTTGACCTCAGGTAAGGCCCAAGCCTCTCCTTTGCGAACAATACCTGCTTCACCTTGTCCCCAGGATTGAATCCTAGAATCACAGAGGCTTAGAATTAGGAGGAGACCTTAGTGACAACCCAGTCCAGAGCTGCATAGTAGTAACAGCCTGAGAACTAGAACCAGGGCCTCCAGAACAATCTCTCTGGCCTCCTGTCGAGGTTCTGGCAGCATGCAGCATGAGTGACAGCCATGTCTAAGGCCTGCAGTCTGGGTACTGGGGACAAGCCCTTCTAAGTCACAGGTCTCAGCTGCCAATTCAAGGCGATTCTCATTACCATGACTGAATCGTGGCAACTTAGCCACGCATCACACCTGACAATCAACTAAAATGCACCTACATCAGCTCGTGTTATGCTCAGTGTTTAAAGGCCCAGGAGATATTATTACCCTGAGCTTGCTATTCCTGCTCAGCCACGAATATGTGACCTTGTGAAACTTTTGGTGCTTAATTTCTCAAATCTCCTTTTCTCGTTTAAAAATTGAGAATAATAACACTTCTAGCACGGGTTGATAACAGAGCAGACTCTTATTTCATAAGTGAAGCATGAGGCTCTGAGATTAAGCGACATGCCCCAAACATAGCAGGAACGAAGGGCAAAAGGTGAAGAAGAAGGCAGGTCTCAGCCCCAGGCCTGTGCTGTGTTTGCACCACCTCTTCCTGAAATGACGCTGCCCTTATTCCTCTCCTGCGTGGCCATCATTTATTGAGCCTTTACTCAATGCGCTTTCTTTATGCACGATGCTAAGTACTCTGTAGACTTCACAACATCTAATCCCAACAACAACCCTGGGAGGTGCATTTTAAATGTATTTCTGTTTACCATTCAAGGAAATAGAGGCTTAGAGAGGTTACATTCCCTGAGGGCGAGAGCTCATAAGCAGCTTAGGCAGGACTGGCAGCCAGGTCTGTCTACCCTCCAAGCCCGTGCAGTTACTTGCTGTGTCCCCACCACTCCTGTGCTCCCACCCCTGCCACCATCCTGGGGCCACAGCTCCACTGGGACAGCCAGGACCAAAGTGATAGGACAGGCATAGAGACTGGTTCTTGCTGGCTCACTGGGCAGTCCTGTGCCCAAGCTCTGTGCTGGGCCTGGGAGAGCCTGCTCCGTGGTCCTGGGTATCCTCGCTTCACCACAGGGTCCTCGTGCTGCAATCTCATCTGTGACATTCGAATTTAAGAGGTTTCCCAGTGGTGACAGAAATAGGCTTCTTTTCCCTCATTTTCAAATTGGAAAACTGAGGTCCAGGGAGGAAATAGGTCTCAGCAGAATCCCACAGAGCCTTTAGTAAAGTGTGGCATCCGGGCTCTAGACCCGTCATCTCCCCAGGGCACCCATGTTCCAAGCAACCACCAAAAAAGACATTCTTGGCTGATGCTGCCTGAAAGACATCTTCTTTGTCCAGCGACCTGCTAATGCCCCATTCTGCAAAGTGCACTGGCCTGGAGGAGTTCTGGATTAAGCTTCTTAGGGGATCTACCATCCTCTCCTGCCCTCCAGGGCTCTCTCTTAACTCACCTTTGGGTAAAATGATGTGCTATGAGATACACTTAAAATCCTTCGTTCCCCAGCCCCCTCCCTCTTTCTTGGTGGGATTATTCATGAGACCCCAACATGAGTCACCAGAGTAAATAAACACAATTGTCGTTCCACCCCTAGGCTTTGGCTGCCGAAGCTCTCCCCTCCTTGTTCAGCTGTGGCTTTAATAATGAGCCACTCTCAGCTTTTACAGGCGTTGAGTTCAGTTCCCTGAGGCTTCCGCGAAAGAAGTCTCCTGGAATCAGCGCTCCTATCCCCCCTACCCGGGAATTGGGACTTTTAACAGAAATGAGAAGGCTTGTTCTGGGGAAAGAGATCCTGCCTTCTGCAGTATACTCTGAAACACAGAAGTGACACACACGCAGAGCTGAGGTTTGTGAATTGGTGGTGTTAAATAACAATTAGGTCAATAATGCCCTTTATGAAAAACCTTTTAACAAATTACATCCATCGGTAATTAGCCCCTATGAGAATCTCAGCCTGGGAAAGCCCCGATGAAAATTGGATCCAGACACAGACCTGGTGTAGGGAGCTGAGTCTCTCACTTTTCCAGGAAAATCTCTTTCCCTGTCAACTCCACTTGGGAGAGGGCAGAACCAAGACTTTGGGTCAATGTCTGCAACTCCTGTTGCCTTGACCTTGACCAAGGACACCTTGCCTTTTGCCCACTGAGCCTCCATTTCTGTCCCCAGGTGGCTTCCTGGGTTACTGAGGAGGCTGTGGGTTTCAGGACATGTAGCTGGCTCGGTGGCTACAGGCACAGCTTGGCAGTAAGAGCATCACTGAAAGATGAGCACTTTCCTCTGCTTGTCCAAGGCTTCCCAAAGAGCTGGTGCCTTCTCTTGCCTGCCTTCCTGCCCAAGCCCCGAGATGGTGCCCAAGCATGTTACAGAGAGAAGTAGCATGAGAGGGGTGAGAAACTGTCTGAAATAATTCCATCCTTCCCTGGAGACTTGGCGTGAATTTTATCTAATCACCATGGCAACAGATAAAAAAAAAAAAGAAAAAAGGTGTGAGCGTATCGCCTTTGCTGTGATAATTCAGATTTATATATTCAGATCAGATTGGAGTTGGAGATTTTTTTTTTTAAGGGAGCAGATGCAGCAGAAGGTGTGACTGCAAATAATGTAGCACAAATGTTTGATGATCCTGCCCTTTAAGAAGTGGAACGCAGTTTCCTGCAGTTTTTCCAGAATATAATTATTCCATCAAACCCATTGCAATGAGGACTCATTACGGGCCCAGATAATGCAGAGTCACGTCCATGCCAACAACACGCCTGCGCACACACAAACACAAACACGCATGCATAGACAGCCCCAGCCCCCGCCCTCTGCCTCTGGCTGCCCCCCAATGGAAACCTCAGAAAGCCAGCACCCCCAAAAAAGCATGAGGCCCGGGTAAAGAGCCTGGGAAGACTATGTCCTGAGGGCAAGATGGAGACAGCTCGGACTTCACAGCTGGGGCAGGATAGCGGGACTCCCTCCCTCTGCCATCCCACCCATGGAAACCTACTTCGATTTGTAGAGCATAAGCCCTTGGAGGGCAGGGGCTGGGGCTGGATGGTCCTGGTGTACAGTCTCTGTTCAACCTGAGTGATTAACTCAGTTATTTTCTTAAACCATGTGATTCTCCCTGCTTGCTCAAGGTCACACAGCAGTTAATGGCACCTTCTGATCTAAACCAGTCTTCTGACTCCCAAGCCAGAGGTCATTCCACTAGAGGCTTCACTTTGGGATTAGAATAAGCAAAAGGCCTGCACTCTGTTTCTTATATCCCCTCCTTGGGTGCCCAGGGAAGGCTAGCATGCGCACAGCAGCCCATGTGCTTGGCAGGGAGCAGACGCGCCTGGGAGCCATTCCATCCACGTTCACTGGGTGTCGTTTATCCTTCTCTGCCCAACACATGTGCCTGCAGGTACAGCCTCTGAGGAGTGGATACGTTCTCCAGGTCCCTTGCTCTCAAGCCTTTGGAAGTTCTTCTAGATGTGATCACCTTCACAACTGACCATCTCTGGTGTGTGCTCTCAATTCCTCCCATTCTGCTAAAGGGGCAACAGTCTCCCTAACCTGGGTCTGACAAAGACACAGGTGTCTTTACCTGCATATCCCCACTCGGTCAGGAGTAGGGGTAATGCCAGGGCATGTAGCATGCAGGCTGGGGACAGAGCCCCTGAGCACAAGGCCTTCAGTGCTGCCCTCAACTCCTTGCTAGAGGGTGAAATATCCCTCATTCTCTCTCTTCCAGCACACATGCCCCTTTACTTAGCATTTCCCGAGTGAGAGCTGCAACCCAGAAAGGCTACACATCCTGGGAGGACCAATCAAGAATAAGAACGTGGGCCGCCCAACTTCTAGAGTGCCCTCCTCAGTGCCTTTTGTCACCCAGATCAAATCCTAATGTGTCAAATAGGGCTTGGACCAAGACTTGTCACCCTTACATTTCAATGTTCGCTGGTCATAGTCTCCACTGGCAGATTGGGCTTCTGGTATTTTTAAGAACGAGAGCTCAAGTCCGCACAGCCCTGCAGTTATCTGTTCTAATAGAGGTCCGTTCCCTGCCTTCCTGTGCTTTGGGTCTCATGCCAGGATGCCCAGGCAGAGCTCCTGCCACCTGCACCGCCTGTGATTCAGCTCAGTACAACCGTGTTGGTTCTGGCCCATTAGGAAACCTCTGCTGCCCCTGCCTGCCAGGCTGGGCTCATCTGTGCTCTGGGCCTCAGCATCTTGCCAAGGATCCAGATCACCTGCTGCCCACTTCCCAGCAGATGGGCTGGTTCCGAAGACTCAGGTCTGCTGGTCACCTGGTGCTGTGGTCTGCGGCCTTCTCAGCAGCGCTCTTGTAAAGCTCCTTTTGCAATCATTTACCTGAGATCTCTGTGCTAACAGACAGGGCGTGTTAGAGGCACGGAGCAGGTCATGGCCTCTCACCCTAGCCCTAGCCCTGCCTTCTGTGTCAATAGCATTGGCCTTCACCTCCCATGAGGAAAGAAAGCTGCTTCTGGGGGAAAGCTCATTCCCCAGTACATGCCGCCCTCTGAATGGGGAGAGGCAGGCAGCAGATTGTTTATGTATGGTGTGTAATTTATTTACCTGGGAAGGCACAGCTCCGCCACAGCATCTGGTTTCCAGCATGTTTCCAAACCCTTGATCCCTGCTCAAGCCCCATCTGGCTGGGATGAGACCCAGGAACCAGGGCAGAGGGGGCTGGAGGAGGAGCTGGTGGTTCTGGGCTGAATCCTTTCATCCTCTGCATCCTCTCTGGAAATGAAGGTGTTCCACCTGCAACAGGAGAAGGTCAAGGACGACCTGAGAGCCTCTCCCTGGGAGCCTACCAGGCCAGGCAAGGCTTGTGTGTTAAGGGTGGGCTGTGGGCCATGGGACCGCAGAGCCGACTGGAGCCTTAACCGCAAAGCTCTCGGAGGCTGCTCAGCCAGCTCAGCCCAGCAACTGGGCCTGGCCAGTGGGGCCTCTCTATCTGGCTCCTTCCTAGCAGCCCTGCCTCTCCTGCTTCTTCCCTGGAAGTCAGCCAGTCCTGATGGATGTGTGCAGAGAAGGAGTAGGTAATACAGGTCCTTCTCGGTCTCCCAGGATCCTGTACACATTGGCTGGGCTGGCAACACGCAACGCTAGCAGCCTGGAGTCCCAGCCCTCCCCTCCTCAATCCTCATCTCCAAAGTGGATTGCAGGCAAAAGAGGACTGGAGGCTTGCTTTCCACACCTGCTGGAACTTGTGGTCCAGGCATGATGGGCCCTCATGATGGTGCATTCACAGTACATGACCCAGGAGAGCCAGGGCTGATACAAAAGCTGATGGAACTGGGCTGTGTGGCTGAAGATGGGAAGATGTGGGAGACATGATTCCTGCCTTCTCCCAGTGTCTAAGGTGCCATCGGACGGAAAGGGAACAGGCTTATTGTATGAGGCTCCAAGAGGCAGGACAAGGACCAGTGGGTGAAAATGACGGAGAATACAGCTGGCTCGGGGTCAGTGTGACTTTTCTAATGGTCATCAGTGGCTTGGATTCCCTCATGAGGTATTGAGCTCACCATTATGGAGTGTGTCCAGGGCAGGGAGAGGGAATAATTAGTTACCATTTATTCAGTACCCACTAAGTGCCAGGTGTTCTTGCTCTGTCTTCACTTTCTCACAATAGTCTACAATTTTGGTATCATTGTCTCCATATTGTGTTGGAGGCAATAAGCTCAGAGAGGTTAAGTAATTAGCCCAAGGTCACACAGCTTGTAAATAGTAGAGCAGGTCTGTGTCCTCAAGGAAGCCTGTGCCCTCCTTGGCATTTTATGGGGCTTGTGGAGGGGAAACCTACTGTGTTGGGGAGAACCCAGATGATCTCCAAGACCCTTCTCCTTACTAAAGATTAGAGGATTCCCTTCCAGGTAAAGTCATCCTTGCTTAACCCACCTCTGAGCACCTTGGATTCCAGTCTGACCCCAGCACTTAGGCTCCCCTGGACACTCAGGGCAAGGCTCCTGCAGCTTATAAAACTGCCCTACACTGCACTGCACCCCACATGCAGCATGACTGTGGGGTTGGGTGTCATCCTTCTCCTGTTATGGAGGGACCTGAGATCAGAGGACATAGGTGGTCTCTCTGAGGTTGAGAAGCTGCAAGGTCCCTGACTCAGGTAGCCCCTTCCTCCTGAAGCCACCTTGCTCTTCTGGCTGCCATGGTGTGCCAGACCCTCCCTCCTTTGTGTCACTCAGGAGGACTTGCTGTCCTGTGCATTCCTGCATTTATTTCTAAATAGGAGGCATTTTCATGGGGTCATGTGTAACTCCCTGCCTTGCGTTCAGTATTGTGCTGGTGGCGCTACTCAGGAGGCTGAGGCAGGAGAATTGCTTGAACCCGGGAGGCGGAGGTTGCAGTGAGCCAGATCCCACCATTGCACTCCAGCCTGGGCGACAGTTCGAGACTCTGTCTCAAAAAAAAGAGAAAGGATAGTACCTTGAATGTGAAGAAACCCACTCCCAGGGCTTAGGGTTTGGGGCTGCTGAAAAGAAAAGAGAAAAGATCTGCTGTGCTTGACTTGTTATGGAGAGAACACCATTCAGAGGAAAGGTCAGAGTCTGCAGGCGGAGGCCACAGGAGGAAGCATCAGCAGAGGCAATAAAGACTGGGGTGGTGCAGAACTCAGGAAGGGCGGGGGGAGGGACAGTGAAGGCCAGAGCGTGGCAAGGAGTCTGACCGCTGGGCCCAGCGGTGGCAGTGAGGTGGATTGGGTTGATGCAGGTAGATTGGATTCATTCGTTATCTATTCATCCACCACTTATGGAGGGCTCTCAGGGAGGACAAGCCTTGCTGACCCACACGTTCTAACCCAGCGTTGTTTTGTGCTGTGTTAGAGGTCTGTCCAAAGCTCTAAGGGAGCCCAGGCCTCCCAGGGAGGTTTCTTGGAAGACCTGAGATTTCAGCCCAATCCTGCAGCCTAAGCAGGAGTTGGTCAGGCAAAGAGTGGGATGGGAGAGCCATGGGAACAGTGTGTTGCCAAGGCCTGGAGGGGTCACAGAGCCCTGTGTGTTTGGGGAGCACCCTGTGGTTCCCAGGTCAGGGGGTGGCAGGAAGGGCTGTCCCAGGCTGCTAATAGCACACTCGAAGCTGGGAGTGTTGGCAGTTGCTCGAGGTCTGAGGAGGAGGCCACGTGGGCAGGCGTGTACTCCAGAAAGATGCCCCAAGGGCTGTGGGAAGGGTGGCTTGGATCTGAGGCAACTGGCCCCTCTCCTGAGGGCTCCAAGCACTTTCCTGAGTACCACTGGACTTCCCTTGGCCTCCTGGGTCCTTGTGATGGAGCAAGAGGCAGAGAGGAAGCCACAGAGAAGCCAAGGCACTGTCCCGCAACCACACTAGCAGCTGGGGACAGCTCTACCATCGGGTCTCAGGTCCCAGTCTCCTAATCCTGTCTGCTTCCAAATGCCCATATGCAAGGCACCTAACACATTTGCAAAATGCTGGATTATAATAATAAAAATTCGCTTATCACTTACTAGGTGCCAGGCACTGTTCTAAGCACCTTCCCTATGTTAACTAATTCACTTAATCCTCAAACAAATCCTATGAGGAAGATGCTATAATTATCCCCATGTCACAGACAAAGACATTGAGGCACAGAGATGTCAAGGACATAGTGGGATTTGAACCCAAGCAGAAAAAATAGCTCAGGTAACGAGGAGGGCAGACGAGCTGTTCAAGGACTGGCCTGTGACGGGAGGGAGCCATTCCGGAGGAGAGTGGTCATGCCGGGACACTGTCTCACATGGAGTGACATGAGTCTCTCCGGGTACTGACGTCCCATAGCCCTGGGCCCCAGTGAACAGGGGATGCTGTAGGTCAGTGAGGGTAGGAGGGCCAGGAAGAACCCCCGTGCTGGCCACCTGCATGGGAAGGGCAGAGGGCCAGGGGTTATGTGCTGCCCATCCCTGTCCTCTACCCCACCCTGCCTTGGCCTCAAGGGGAGAAAAGCTCCCTTGGGGTGGAACAGCGTCCAAACCCTCAGTAGCCTGCCCGGGTTTTGTTTTTGTTTTTCAGCCAGGTGTTGCTTTTTCTTAATTGGTTTTTAATGAAGTTTAACTTACATACAGAAAAGTACACTGACCTTAAGAGAATGTTTATGAAATGAACATGTCCGCGTAGCCAAGCCCCACCCCCAGGTAACCTCACCAGTCCTCCGTGAGCCTCCCATGCACCCCTCCCAGCTGTTATTCCCCCGACCCAGGTGACCACCCTCCTGAGGCCTGTCACCATGGATTAGTGTTGCCTGGCTTTGAACTTCATACAAAGTGGAAGTGTACAGCATGTTCTCTTATGCTTGGCTTCTCCCACTCAATGTTGTATCTGTGCAGATTGTCAGGAGGTTGTGCTGGCTGTCCTGGATCACTGCAGCTGTCAAGTAGACCCTGGTCCTAGCCACCTGCCCTCTGGGCAGCATATCCTCTGGGTTGGCCTGCCCTCCCCACTGGGGTGAGACAGGCCTTGGCATGCAGGGGGAAGGCTGGAGCCCCTGGATATCTCAGAGCTGACATACCCCTTTTTGTGACTTCCTTCCCCTTTGCCTGTAGTTTTGAGAACCTTCTGTGCCCCCTGTGGTCTCCTGTCCGCCTCCAGGTCTAGAATCAAAGCCAGGTACGCTGGATGGAAAGTGCCCTTCATGTTCTCTGGCTCAGGCCAGAATAGGCTGCACAGACCCAGGCCGAGGGCAGTGTCATTGTGAACTTTGCCCCCCAGGACTCTGGTTACTGTGGCTGGGGCTGGTTGGAGAATAGAGGGAACACCCCCCAGCCGCAGACCTGGCAGGACGTGGAGGAGGAAGCCAGGGACCACTAAAGTCCCTTCAGACTGGGAAGCTCCAGGGATCCAGACTTCTTGTACAGGTCTCACTCACTGTGAGAGGTGAAAGGGAGAAAGGCTGAGGCATTCCTTAAGGCTTCACCTGGCATCAGCTGGGGCTTGTGAGCAAGGCAGGGTCTCAGGCCCCACCCCACCCTGCAGGACTGGAATCTGCATTTAACAAGATGCCTCACGGAGGCACTAAGGTTTTAGAGGCCCCACTTTAGGGAATACACTGAGGTGGTCAAGAGCTGGACACAGGCCAGATTGCCCAGGCTTTCATCATGGCTCGGCCACTTAATGTGTGACCTTAAGCGAGTTGCCTAACCTCTCCGAGCATCATGTCTAAAATAAGGATAATAACAGCACTTACCTCGAAGGGTCGTTGTGAGATTGAAATGCGATAACCCATGTGAAATGCTTTGAGCAGTACCTAGCACATGGCAAACAATCAATACTGATTACGATTTATTACTCGGTGCCAGGCACTGTGCACGGCGCTGTTTCTGCATCACCCCTTCCAGCTCTGCAATAACCCGGAGGTGGGTAGTAGTATTTAGGCATGTTGTCCAGATCAAGGAAGCCATTTTTCAGCTGAGGCCAATGAGTGAACATGTCCCTGGAGACAGAGGAGGCAGAGTTTATAAACGAGTTTTCCTCAGTGTAGGGTAGAGAGCACCACCTTCTCCCCGCGACGGTCGGTCAGGGATGTGACATCTGCAGGTCACAGGCAGGCTGCGGGTGTGTTTGTGGGTGCTGAACTCTGTCTGTCAATCACTAAGGATTAATTGTTAGGGATAGACACAAGGTGTTTGTCTGGCTCCCAGCAAGCTCTATATTAAATGAGAAAGGGTTTGAAGCAGGGGTAGCAGCGGCCTGGGATACCGAGTGAGAGAGTGTTCAGAAGGATCTGGGACTTGGGGGAGGACCTGCTTCCCGGGGAACCAGGCCCAGAGCCAAGAGGGTGGCTATGCCAGACAGCGGGAGCTGAGGTGGCCCCGAGGTGTCAGACGCCGCTCAGCATCCTGTATGTCAGGAACTGGTAGGCAGATGGCTCCCTGCAGAGCTTGGGGGACAGAGGACCTGTGCACACAGGCATGGACAGGACAGTGGGGTCCAGAACGGAGGGATGTCAGGAAGCTGGAGCTTATGTTGGTCACAACTGGGATCTGTGACCCCTCTTGCTCATGTGTGTGCAAGAGGGGTCACATGGATACTGTGACCCTCTGGGGACTGGCCCCGACCCAGGAACCTGGTTTCCTGCAGGGCACCCTGCTCTCCCTCCTCCAGGGGCCTCCACTTCTCACGCTCACCACTTTCTCCCTGGCCTGTGCTCCTTGTCTGTGCTGCGTAAGACCACACTGTTATTGCTCATTGACTTGCCTGTCTCCCCTTTGGACTAGAAGTGTCTCGAGGGTAAAAAAGCATGTCTTATTTTCTCTGTATTCTCTCTCCTGGCACAGGGCTTGGCGCAAAGCAGATTCTCCATACGTGCTGGATGGATGGATGGATGGATGGATGGATGGATGGATGGATGGATAGATGGGTAGATAAGAGTGGAGTAAGGGCCAAGCATGGTGGCTCACGCCTGTAATCCCAGCACTTTGGGAGGCCGAGGCAGGCGGATCATGAGGTCAAGAGATTGAAATCATCCTGACCAACATGGTGAAACCCCATCTTTACTAAAAATACAAAAATTACCTGGGTGTGGTGGCGCATGCCTGTAGTCCCAGCTACTAGGGAGGCTGAGGCAGGAGAATGGCTTGAATCCAGGAGGCAGAGGTTGCAGTGAGTTGAGATTGCGCCATTGCACTCCAGCCTAGAGAACAGAGAAAGACTCCGTCTCAAAAGAAAAAAAAAAGGTCTGGAGTAAGCATCTTTATAGTTATACTCCCAGAAGGGACACATGGGAGACAGGGAGAGGCCACTAGTGAGGTCACAGCATCACAAGTAACCCAGTAACCCCACGTTTATCTCAATTTCCTGGCATAGGTCTCTGGATATGTCAAGGCTGGATTCTCCATAGCCCATTCTCAGAGACAAGACCACACCCCCCCAAACCCTCAGTGGCCTTCTCCTCCAAATATTTTTCTCTGATTCAAGTATGTTGATTCTAGTGTGTGCACACACAGTCCATGAAGCCTGGATGCTGACCCAGCTCTCCAAGTCCCCAGCTTGGCTCCCTGCATGGAGCTGCCCTGCTTTGTCTTTGCCCTGGGCACGCTCCTTGCCACCCAATCACCTCCACTCCCTCTAAGCTCAGGGTGTTACCAGATGGACTTGATCCAATTATTTTTCAGAGCATTTGAGATTCCTGTGTTAGTGAACAGGAAGGTCCCACAACCGAGCTTGGAGTGGAGCCCCGGGACAGATTCAGTTCCACCAGTGTCCCAAAATGGGCCTCGGGCTCAACCTAGGGACTTAGCTCTGTCTGTAAATCAGCTCCATGTTTGTCCTGTCATCACTAGAATGGGAGTTAGGAGCTCTGGGTCTGACCTCAGGCTTTTCTCTAAGGTAACAGCATCTACAGTCTTGGGTTGAGTCATTTCACTACTATGAGCCTCCTCAGTGTCTCAGCCTGTGAAGTGAGGGGCTGAAATCCAGGCATCCCTGAGACTCTCCTAGACCCCGTTTCTATAGGTGAGTCCCTATGAGACGATGTGCCATCTGTCATCTAGTGATGGGCCAGCCATCCTCCAGACTCAAGGTCAGGTGGCTGGAACCAAGGAGAGATTTCTCATTCTGTTTCCTCCCTGAGAACATTTGCCCAGGGTAACCTTTCTCAGGGGTTATGACCACCCAGTAGGGACAAAACCCTGCTGGCCACTGGTATCTAGTTTGCCTTTCCCCTCTTGTCCTGCCTTCCCACCATGATATTAAGCCAGCCTGGACTTTGCCTGTGGTATGCAGCTTGTGGGCTCCATACAGTATCCCTTGGGATGCAGGAGGCAGTTAAGACCTCCTAGTGATGCCAAGGGATGCAGTGGGAGGGGGGGCCCAGAACCAATGCTGAGGGATACAGTAGAGGCCCAGGACCAGAGTCCAGAGACCTGCAACTTCAGGGGAAGGGAAGCTGGACATTCTTGAACACAGAAAGCACTGTGTTGTGTGGGCACAGCCTGGAAAAGGGGAAAGAACAGGAGCATTAGGGGGTTCACCTTCCCTAATTACTGAGTGTTCTTAAGGAAAGTTCATACACATCTCTGAGCCTCAGTTTCCTCCTTTGTCAGTGGGAAAAACGCTGCATTCCCATTTAGGTGATGCAAGCCGTTGTAATAGAGAAGCCCTAAATCTCAGTGGCTTACCACAATAAAATATATTTCTTGCTCACATAGAATCCAATAGGCAGTGAGAGTCTGCTCCATGCAGTCATCTAGGGATCGAGGCTAACTAAGAATCCATTGTCTTTAACCTCTGGCTCTCAAGGTTGCAACTTATTATTACCATTCAGAGAGAGATGACAGAAGAGAGTGAATGCAGAGGATGAAGTGGGAGGTTTTTGTAGACCAGGCCCAGGCATGGCATTCGTCACTTCCACCCCCATCCCACTGGCCAGGAATCAGTAGGTGCCCCACTTAGATGTAAGGAATTTTGGGAAAGCAAAGTCCCTGGCTGGGCAACTGCTTTCCAACAACTCCACACTATGGAAGGAGAGGCACAGATCTCTGGTGGAGACCATCTCTGCCAAAAGCACCTACCTCCAGGATTGCTAGGGATATTTATATATAAGAAAACCAAGAAAGGTACCCCACATTGGTAGTTGCCGGGTAATGTACATTTCACCTTTTCTTCTCAAACAAGGAACCCCTCCCCTCCAGCTTGCCTGACATCTCCATTTGGATCTGAAGGCCTAGCTGGCTGGAGGCTGCTGTTCCCATGCACTGATTGCTGGTGCGTGCTCCATCCCGGTCTGGTTTAGCCAACCTCAGCGGGTCAGCTGTTCCTGGTTGAGCCCAGCTGTTCTCCTTCTGGAGATGTGAGTGTGCAACAGCGAATCTGTGGCCAGAATTATTGGCGATCCTCATTTCTTCAACAATAAATATGTAACCTTGGAGTCGGGATGGCCATGGCTGGGGGCTTGCCCCTTGCTAAGACCAGCCTTGTCCCTTTTCAACGTTTGCTAGGTGGCTGGAGTCAAGGTTGTGGCAGGAATGAGCTTTTGCAGGATACCTGGGCAGCAGGGTGGCTTGGCAGGGGTTGACAGCATCAGTAATGAGGTCTGCTGACTGGGGCTGGGGTTGGAGAATAGGAAGGGACTGGAAATGGAGTTTCATAAGCCCTACAGATGAAGACTTTCAGTGTGAGACAGGGTGACCAACTTGTCCCAGTTTGCCCAGGACTCAGGTTTTAGCACTGAAAGTTCCATCTCCCAAGAACCTCTCTCCACCCCAGTCTTGGGCATACTGGGACAGTTGGTCACCTTAGTGTTAGATGTAGATAGGACACTAACGGGGAAAGAATGTGAACTTTGATGTCAGAGTCAGACCAAAGTCCAGATTACCAGCTGCACAACGTAGCCTGTTTTCTCATCAGTAAAATGGGGCTAATGGAGCACTTTTTCTTTCCCATACAGAGCCATTTCCATGATTATGTCAAATAATATGTGTAAGGGCCCTGGTCCTCCCTTGCTGTAGGTGGTTGTCTAGCCCCTGCCTGACTCTTCCCTGTGACCAAGGAGCCCCTCTCTCTTGAAGGTACCCATTCTCTTGTTGTCTACATCTGGTTGTTGGAAACATCCCTTTTGGGAATCTCCACCCATTGGTTCCTCTTCTGGACTTGTACACATCATGGCCCTGAACTCTAACAATGATGGTCATGTGTCCAACTCTCTGAGCAGATGGATCTGAGCAGAGGTGGAAATATTTCATGTCAGAGGGGCTGCAGCTGCATCTATTGTGAGACCAGGGGCTCTAGAATTAGAACCAAATGGTAGTAGATACATGACAACACCGGCTCCCACCTCCCCCTCCTGTTTCTGATCAATCTCAGTTTTGCCCCTTGCAACTACCATGTGAGACGTTAGGTGTTGGGGTGATCAGCTCATCCTGGTTTGCCCAGGACTTTCCCAGCTGCCCCTAATGGCCATGCAGCCCATCCTCAGGGGCACTGTTGCCTTCGAGTTGTGCAGTGCACACCCTGAGTAACCATGCACAGAGTCCAGTGTCCACTGTGGGGTTCCAGTGGGTAAACAGCCTGACTTCAGTTTGAGGGCACCGCGCGGCTCATGCTGTCTACAGTTGAAGTAAGCAGCCACCACCTGCTCCCAGGCATTCTCTGTTGATACGTAAGCTTTGTGGGATTAAAGTCCTTTTATCTGTTTTATCTCATTATCCATTCCCATGTCCTAGGTCACTGTTCTCAGACTTGTGTGCACAACAGAATCGTCTGGAGGGCTTACTGAAGCACACATTGCTGGGGCCCAACCCCAGAGGTTCCGAGTGAGTAGGTTTGAGAGGGAGTCCAAGAAGTTGCATTTCTAACAATATCTCAGGTGATATTACTGGGCCAGGTCCTCCTTGAAGAACCACTGTCCTAGGAAATCTTTCTTGGTAGCCTGTGCAGTGGGAGTTGGGACACCAGGGTCAGGTCCCTTCCCTGCCTCTTATTAGTGACATTAATATAGGCATATCACTTCACCTCTCTGAGGCTTAGTTTTCTTTCTTTATCAACTGGCAATGGAAACCTTTGCTTTTATCACCCCGAAGTATTGTTTGGAGGATCAGATTAGACAGTATGTGTTCAAGCCCTACAAGTTG